AGTGGCGAAAACAATTGTCCACATGTTTAGCATATTTTTACATTTTGACGACCTGTACGCTATAAACATTAAGCCTTAATTCATGGTGGCCATACACGTAGAGAGGAGCAGTTAGAGCACTCACGCAAATCTCCTAAAACCAGAGTAGTATATTTCATGGTCCTTCAAGATGACAACATTTAATAACAGCACATCCGGACAATTTGTACTGAGGACAGGCAGCAAACTAGTTACTAGCAAAACTAGTACCTAGTCAACCGACACTTGGCCTTGATCACCACATACACCCTCCTAGGCATGTTATCTACGAGGTTAGTGCAAACCTTTACAGGGATCTTCTCGCACTCTTCCTGGACCCACGCTTTTGCATAAGGGGGTGAGCACTAGGAAAATCGCGAAGTATTTGAACGTATGCAAGAGTACTGTGCACGATTTCATGTTGAATGTTATCTCTAAGACTAGCCATGCTGAGGTGTGGCCAAAGATGCCATTAGTCGATTGGTCTCGTCTTATCATGGATCGTCTTCATCGCACCGTTGTAGGTAAAAATTATGAGCAGAGTGGCGAAAAATTGAGTATCTGCCACGAAACTTAGGGTAACATAGCACGATTGACAGTGCATCCTTGCACTATTAGAATCATGCTAGGATCCGTATGTCTCTGAGCGGTGCAGCAGTCGAAGTAGTCGTGACTAGTGGGGAAAATATCCGGGTTGAGATCAAGTGAGGAAAAGGGTCACCCCAGCGTAACATACTCGTGTTCTCTAAGCCATTCTAAGCCATGTGTCCCGCCTAGGCTTGGAATGGCTTGGAGAGCATGAGTTTATAGCACTGGAGTGACCCTCTTCCTCACCAGACCTGAACCCGAATATTTTTCCCCACTAGTCAAGCTCAAAGACCGGCACACGACGGCGAGCCAGGGCGTACCAGTCTGGAGGGTCCGACGCAGGACCAAAGCGGTGGCGGAACAGGTCGTCCAGGTGGTGGTAGCAGCATTCGACGGTGTGGCCGGGCCGGAGGCAGACAGTGCCGCGACGAGGGCCAGTCTGAAGTTGGTACTGGCAGGGGACTGCGCTGGAGTTGCCACCCGACACCGAGCTGCTCCCGCCCCCCCCACAACCACCGCTGCTAGTGCCGCCAGTCCATCACGGAAGCGGCGGTCCCCACGGTAACTGCTGCTGTTGCGCCGACTGCGGCAGCTGCTGCGGCTGCTGAGTCTGCTGCTGCTGCTGCTGAGGCTGCGTCTGCTGCTGTGGCTGTTCCGGGGCACTAGCCACGGTCCCCTCGTCTGAACCACCATCCCCACCCTCACCGCCGTCACCCCCCTTCCCTCCACTGTGCCCCCCTTTCGGACGGCGACCCTTACCCTGACGCTTCTACACTGAGGCCGCAGCAGTGGTCTCAGCATCAGCATCAGAGACGTCATAATAAGTGCACCGGGAGGGAGCACAGCCCTGAAAGATAGGTACCGCCGCAGTACCCCTAGACTGAGCGATGCTGAGCTGGCGGGTCTCTATCTCAGACAGGGCAGTGACAAAGGCGATGAGAGTGAGGTCACCCAGGTGCTGACTAAGGAAGTGGCCGCGGGCTATGGCTAGGCGGTCAGGGAGGCGCATGGCGATGAGATAAAGGGTAGCGCAAAACGGCGGCAGGAAGGCAGTGAGCTGTACGTCAGTGCTAGCAGTGCGGTAGCTCGTCTCATGCGCGTGGAGGTGCGTGGAAATATCGGCGATAGTGGGGAAGGACGCAAGATCAAGGAACAGAATAGGAAGGATCAGGTGACCAGCAGAGGCAGTGGCGGGGGTGGAATAGCGCGCAATGACAGCATGTAAGAAGGCTTGGGCGTTGTTATAGTGGTAAAGCGAGGACGCTCAGAGAGCGGGAGCGCACGGCTGATAGCAAGCTGGGCGACAGCGTCGCGCGAGTCCCAGTTGGCACGATCAAGCGCAGCAGCGGAAAATGCCTCACGCTCAGCAGTGGTGGGGGCATTAGGGAGGGCAGCAGGGGCAGGGGGGCGGGGAAGCAGGCCATCGACATGAATAGCCAGGGAGTGACCGTCCTGGCGCTGACCTGTAAGGTGACGCCGAAGGTCGATGAGCCACGCCTCAAAGTCGAGCGCCCGACCCTCTGCATCCAGACGGAGCTGTGACTCCGCTATTGCCATTGCTGCAGCTGCTGACGGCCGCTGACAGAGTGAAGAGGACAGCTGGAGGAAGCGGTGAAGAGCGGTGGAGTGCGGTGTAGTGCGGTGGAGTTTGGTGGAGTATGGATGAGTGCGGTGTAGTTCGGTGGAGTGCGGTGGAGTGCGGTGTAGTGTGGTGGAGTGCGGTGGAGTGCGGTGTTGTGCGGTGGAGTGCGGTGGAGTGCGGTGGAGAGCGGTGGAGAGCGGTGGAGACAGCCGGCAGGGAAGCCGACGCCGAAGGGAGCCAGAGCCGGTGGTTCGGCGCTGGGATTCGACGGTCCGGGGGCTGGCCGCTGAAGCGGGGGCCGACGAGGCTGGAGCCGGCTGGCTGGGCGTCTAGCTGGCCGACCGGTTGGCGAGGGCCGACGGGGTGCGGGCGGGGCCGATAGGGCGCCAACGGGGCCGGCGAGGCGCTAACATGCCGGCGGGGCGAGCAGGGCCAGAGGGGCGTACAGGACCGACGGGGCGCTAACGTGGCCGGTAGGGCGCGAGCGGGCCGGCGCGGCGCTAACGGGCCGGTGGGGCGAGTGGGACCAGAGGGGCGCACGGGGCCGACGGGGCGCGAACGGGGCCGTCAAGGCGCAAACGGGTCGACGGGGCGCTAACGGGCCGGCGGGGCGCTAACGGGCCGGCGGGGCGCTAACGGGCCAGTGGCACTAGCAGGCTGGTGGGGCGAGCAGGGCCAGAGGGGGCGCACGGGGGCGACGGGGCTCTAACGGGGCCGACGGGCGCTAACGGGCCAGAGGGGGCCGACGGGGCGCTAACGGGGCACTTACAGGCCGGCAGGGAGCTAACGGACCGACGGGGCGTGAAGGGGCGGCTAGGAGTGGGCGGCTAGGACTAGGACGAGAGCGGATGCACGGGTGGGCGGGGAGGACCTAACCTAGCGCGTGATATCATCTTAGACTAGAAAGTTAACTAGAATGAGGCATGCATGTTGATTTTGTTCAAGTGGCTGTACCCTCTAAGAGCATGCACCTCTCTAGCGTATTATAATATATACAAATATGTTTACAAGGTACCTATCTAGCGTACCTATCTAGAGTGTACTACGAAGTTGTCCGTTTTATCACAAGGTGGGCTGTTGTGAGAATACCACATGGGAGGACCAAAGCACTCCCTTTGGTCAACGTAGGACTCTGACTGAGCTTGCACTCCACGTGACTTCATTCCACCACTTCTAGACGAGAGTGGTTCTCGGGAATATCCATGTAGGGTAAACGTCGAGATCCTCTTGATCTATGAACCAAAATCCTCACACGCTGTGCAGAGAATCCAGTCTAGAGTCGCTGGCTCAGCGCTGCTTCCTCTAGGAATAGGAACCACCACTCCTCTCGCTACTCCATTCCGCCTCCATTGCCCAGGGCCTTGGGCCTGATCCTCTTCACTAATTCTGGTCCATTCTCCTCCATTCTCCCCTCATTCTCCCCCCATTCTCCCCCCATTCTTCCCCCATTCTCCCCCCCCCTCCTCTCTAGCACCGCTGGTCCTAGGGGGAGACCACTCTATCTCCTTCTTGGTCGTCCATGCCGTATCAGAGCACCTGGGCCGGCCGCTGGGCATCCCCCAATTTGGCATCTGCACTCTAACCTTTTTTCCCCACTCCACCCATTCTCCCCCCATCTCATCCCCGTTTCTGCCCATCAAGTCGGTGCGGATTCTGCGAGCAGCGATAAGCGAATTCTGCAAAACCCTAAAACAGAATCACGAGTGCAAATAAAAACTCGTTCCAGCCACGATAGGACTGGGACTGGAATTCTTAGAGGAACTACCCCAGTCAAAGGCTACGTGATGGACAAAGCGAATGGTTGGGCTCAGAACCCAGTTACGTTCCTTATTCAAGACTGAGACTGAACCAAGCTGAGCATTAGGACAGGTCCAGTAAGGTCGCAGCAAGTCAACCAATGGCCGAAATCCGTCTTTGTGGCTTCCCTGGGGATGGTATCACAAAATTAGGGCCAGATAAGGCGGAGTTAGGAGGAGAATAGGTCTCTGTCAATGCTTCCGAATCTACTATGGAGTTGAGCTTATGAGTTGGAGCATACCTCCATTGTGTGCCCACAAAAGCACACTCACATCAACTCCAGCATGAGAACATCTAGCTCGCTAGGTGGCAAGAGACATAACGGCAGTTCATTTATAAAAATTAAATTTAGCTACTTGTGCTATAAAATAAAATTTAATTATATTGATTTACACTGAATAAAAAGAGTGAAATACCTCAATTAGTATGAATATGGATAATAGTAAGAAAATCCTATGGGGGTATATCAGTTGCATTCAAGATTTTGTAAGTGGGAGTCTACCAGCGAGGTATTTTCCAATCTCAAGGTGGGAAATTGTGGGAGCCACGTGGGAGTACCAAAGCAATCAATTCAGTCCACGTCGGACACTAACAAAGACACGCGCTCCACGTGACTGCTACTTGTGATATAAAATAAAATTTAATTATATTGATTTACACTGAATAAAAAGAGTGAAATACCTCAATTAGTATGAATATGGATAATAGTAAGAAAATCCTATGGGGGTATATCAGTTGCATTCAAGATTTTGTAAGTGGGAGTCTACCAGCGAGGTATTTTCCAATCTCAAGGTGGGAAATTGTGGGAGCCACGTGGGAGTACCAAAGCAATCAATTCAGTCCACGTCGGACACTAACAAAGACACGCGCTCCACGTGACTGCTTTCCAGGACTTCCAGAAGAGAGCGACACTCCAGCCAGAGTATCCATGTGCCTGCCGTGCCCGCGAAAATGGACTGCGTGAGTCGTGACCTCAAGATGAAGAATCTCAAGTACAGTAGTCGAGAAGAATTTGTTCTATTTACCCCGTGTTATTGGAGTACCCAGTATACCCTGCACACGCATCATGGCACCGTCACGCCATTTGCACACTCTCGTCCGCCGCGCGCTCAACCACAAGCACCACCTCACTCGCCACACTGGCGCTCCCTCCGCGGGCGCGTTCCCGCCGCTGTGCCGCGGATTCGCCTCCGCCGCCGCCGGCGGAGGGGGCGGAGGGGGCGGAGCCCCGCGCGCGGTGACAGAGAGCGAGCTGTTAGGCGCGAACCGCGTGGTGGAAGCGTCGCTGACGCTGGTGCGAGAGAGGGCGCGGCTTAAGGTGAGATGCCAGAGGGCTCGGAGACGTGCAGAGCTGGGAGTTAGCCGCGTGGTGGAGGCGTCGCTGAGGCTGGTGCAGGAGAGGGCACGACTCAAGGGGAGCGTTTGAAAGAAGCCACAAACCGGATGGTTCGTGTCACATCTCCCGTGACACCTTTTGAGGCGCCTCAAAAATCACATCTCCCGTGACACCTTAGTGAAGCTGACATGACGTGTGACATAGGCCACGGCCTTGCAGGGAGCCCCTCTGGCCCACAACTCCAGCTCCCCGCAGGGACCTGCAATCGCCTCGCATCCCCCATTTCCCCATTCACGTTAGATGCCCTAAACCCGAAGCCCTTCCAGCCAGTGAAAGTACGAGCGGCTGGGGTAGCGGAAGCAACAGCGTGCCTGCTACGGGTGCCTCGTGTAGGGTCCGGCGTCGCCCCTCATACCCCCTCCCGTCCTGCCCCTCCCCTCCATTCACCGTGACCCTGTAACCCTGTTCTACCGCAGGCGGAGAAGGTGCGAGCGGCAGGGGGGGCAGAAGCCACAGCGTGCCTACTGGGGGTGCCTCTGGGCCACAACTCCAGCTTCCTGCAGGGACCTGCCTTCGCCCCCCCTCGCATTCGAGAGGCCATCTGGTGCGGCTCCACCAACTCTGCCACAGAGGAAGGTGAGAGGAAGCAGCGCAGCTCTCTGGCGCCTGACTGAAGGAAGATCGCTGGTCGGCCGAGTTCGGATTGCTTTTGAGTTCGGATTGCTTTTGAGTTCGGATTGCTTTTGAGTTCGGATTGCCGAACTCAAAAACTAGTTCGGATTGCCTTCGCCCCTCCTCGCTTCCGAGAGGCCATCTGGTGTGGCTCCACCAAGTCTGCGACAGAGGAAGGTAAGCGGAAGTTACTCAAAGTCAACACATGTTAACATAGTCAACAGAAGTCAACGCCCTTCATCCCTCCTCACATTCGTGAGGCCATCTGGTGTGGCTCGACCAATTCGGCCACAGAGGAAGGGGAGGGGGAAAGTTTTCTATGGTTGCTGCAGCGTGGCGATCAGCCAAATCGATTGATCCATTTGATCCCCATTCTGTGCGCCTTGCCCTTTTGTTCTGCCCCCCATTTCCTTTCTTATCTGCCCGAAGTAGGCAAGGACCTGAACGACATTCGAGTGCTCCTGTCCCGTTTGAGATATGTTCGTTATTGGCTATGCCTCTTTTCTCGCCATTTTTAATTTCTGCCCCAAGCAGGCAAGGACCTGAATGACATTCGAGTGCTCACAGACGTGGGGGACGTGCCCGTGCAGGTGAGATCTGGGGTAGGTGAGATGGTGTGCAGAAGAGGCTCTTATGTAGTTCTTATGCAGGTGGGACTTGGTGCATGTGAAAGGAGGACTGTTACAGTTGAGAGGCAGTGCAGGTTAGTGAAGGTGCAGGTTCGGGGGTCAGGTTTTAGGGTTTCAACTCAACGACCTGGTGGGGGTGACAATTAGGCGTGGGAAGGAGGGCTTGCAAGTTTAGGGCTGGACGACTGTTGACTGATGTGATGCACACTGTGATGTGCATCTACTGCGATGTGCTCGCGTGCGCCTTTCTTCCTCGCGCTTCCCCCTTGTATGCCTGTGTCGCTTGCTCCCATTCCGCAGGAGATGCGAGACTGTGGGCTGGACGACAGCCGCCTCATGCGCACTGTTTCTGACTCTGTCCGCCTGGTCCTTGCTGAGGTACCATTTTTGTACATATGTATATATTTTTTATATATGTATGCTTTGTGTGCATGATATACTGCCGCTTTGGTATCTCTCCTTCCCCTCGTGGTTGCTGAGGTAGGGAATTCTCCCCTCTAGGCTGAATTATTTTGTTTCTACCAATTGTGCTTGGCTTTGTTTGTTGATGATGTCAGTCAGGATTGGCTTGGCTCGATCCCATTCTCCCCCCATTCTCCCCCTAATTCCCCCCAGCCCCCTATAGCCGCGCTGGCCCTGGGGGGAGATCACTCTGAGACGACTCAAAATTCATTTTGAGTCGACTCAAAATGCACCTATAGCCGCGCTGGTCCTGGGGGGAGATCACTCCATCTCCTTCCCCCGGTCGTGCGAGCGGTGTCAGAGCACCTGGGCGGGCCGGTGGACATTCTCCATTCTCACATCTGCACCCTACCCTTCTTCCCCCATTCCCCCCCCCTCTAACCCCCTTTCCCTCCCCTCCTTCCCCCCCCCAGTCCCCCCTAGCGCCCCTGGTCCTGGGGGGAGACCACTCCATCTCATTCCCAGTCGTGCGAGCGGTGTCAGAGCACCTGGGCGGGCCAGTGGACATCCTCCACTTTGACGCGCACCCGGACATCTACCACGCCTTTGAGGGCAACCCCTTCTCCCACGCCTCCCCTTTCGCACGTATCATGGAGTCTGGGGTCTGCCGCAGACTGCTGCAGGTGAGATGGAAGTATGTAGGGTCCCAAGGCTCCTCAATCACCCGGACATCTACCACGCCTTTGAGGGCAACCCCTTCTTCCACGCCTCGCCCTTCACTCGTATCATGGAATCTGGGGTCTGCTCTGCCGCAGACTGCTGCAGGTGAGATCTGCCACCTGTTGCGTTGTGTCTGCGTTCTGTGCGCTGGCTGAGCTTTGCGTGGTGGCTGCATTGTGCGAGGGGTGGCACTTTGACACGCACCCGGACATCTACCACGCCTTTGAGGGCAACTCCTTCTCCCACGCCTCGCCATTTGCCCGCATTATGGAGTCTGGGGCGTGCCGCAGACTGCTGCAGGTGAGATGGATGAATGTTGGGTCCCAAGGCTCCTCACTCACTGGGACATCTACCACGCCTTCGAGGGCGGCCGCCTCCTTCTTGTGTTGAAAGTTGGTGGGGCCACGCATTGCATACCTTTTTATTACTGAGGCGCCTAAAAATTCCATGCGTGAGGAGTCTTTTCCTAAGGCGGCTCAAAAACAGACTCCTCACGCCTTAGAGGGCAACCCCCTCCTCGTGTTGAAAGTTGGTGGGGTCATGCATTGCATACCTTTTTTTTATTACATTTGTTTGTGTGCGATAACAATTGTTGATGATTGTGTGACAGCTCATTGTTATTTCACAGGAAAAAAAATGTTGACATAATCTACTGTTTGATCCTATGAGCGGGTTTTTTTTTACATTATTTCCAAAAATAAAATTCCGAATACAGTTCATGATGTATTTGTTTGTATTTGAGTGCTTACTCTTACACCTTCTACTTTTTTCTTTAAACTATGTATGACTTCATACAATTATACACAATGTGCAGGTTGGCATTCGATCAATCAATAACGAAGGTCGGGAGCAGGGCAAGCGGTTTGGCGTGGAGCAATACGAGATGAGGCACTTCCACCGCAATAGGGAGATGCTGGAGAACTTGGTATGTGTGATTGTAGTAATGGGTGTGATTGTAGTAATGGGTGTGCTTGTAATGAGTGATCGAGACGAGAGTGGAGCAATACGAGATAAGGCACTTCCATCGCAACAGGGAGATGCTCGAGAGGCTGGTAGGCGTGATTGTAGTAGTGGGTGTGCCTGTAGCAATACGAGATGGGGCACTTCCACGGCAACAGGGAGAAGCTCGAGAGGCTGGTACGTGTGATTGTAGTAGTGGGTGTGCCTGTAGCAATACGAGATGGGGCACTTCCATGGCATCAGGGAGATGCTGGAGAGCCTGGTAGGTGTGGTGATAGGGTGTGCTTATAGTGATGGGAGTGCTTGTTAGGATTGGAGCAGGTCAAGCGGTCTGGCGTGGAGCAGTATGAGATGAGGCACTTCCACTGCAACAGAGATATGCTGGAGAACCTGTTGGGTGTGATTATAGCGATGGTGAGTGTACTTATAGCAATTTTTGTGCATGTATCGATGGGTGTTCTTGCCCTCTCCCCTCCATCGCCATTCTCTCTTCCTCTGCTCCCCTTCCTTTCAGGAGCTAGGCCAGGGGGTGAAGGGCGTGTATGTCTCAATCGACATCGATTGCCTGGACCCCACCTTTGCTCCTGGTGTGTCACACATTGAGCCATCTCCCCTCCCATGTCCCATCCCGTCTCCCTTTATCCTCAGGAGCTAGGCCAGGGGGTGAAGGGCGTGTACGTCTCTATTGACATCGATTGCCTGGACCCCGCCTTTGCTCCCGGTGTGTCACACATCGAACCGGGCGGCCTCTCCTTCCGCGATGTCATGAACATTCTGCAGAACCTCAAAGGTGAACATTCTCTCAACATTCTGTGAAGATTCTGTGAAAGTTCAGTTCAAGCTGCATGGTAAACGGTGTGTCGCACATTGAGCCGGGTGGGCGGCCTCTCTGTCCATGATGTCATGAACATTCTGCAGAACCTTCAAAGATGAACATTCTGCGAAACATCCATGCATTCTCCACCCACCATCCTATGCACCACATTGAATGTTCATTGCAAGCCATGTGGTGGCTGGTGATCTGTTTGAGTTGAACCCACAGCGCGACACAATGCACTGCATGACAGACATGGTTGGCGATGTGATTGGCACCTCTCTTTTTTCTTGTCGTCGTCGCCTCTCCCTTCCCCTGCAGGCAACGTGGTGGCCGGGGATGTGGTTGAGTTGAACCCGCAGCGCGACACAGTGGACGGCATGACAGCAATGGTTGCAGCCAAGTTCGTTCGCGAGCTAGCAGCCCGCATCTCCAAGTAGTACATTAAACTGTAGATGCACTGCTCCATTATGGAATTCTGACCCTTAATGGCCAAAGCCTGGCTGCTAGGGAGTTGTGGTACTCTAGAAAAATCAGTGCATGAATAAAGATGCTGCTTAATAATGGAACTGATGCAGCAGATGGTACAGTCCGTGGCATAATGCGAGTTTCTGTGACTGTAGTTCTCGGGCCCCTGGTTGAATGTCAGAACTAGGTGAACTGTAGACTAGAAACATTCCTAGGGCGAAATCAACCACCAGCTGGCTTGCTGCAGTCATGTGAGATTCTCTAGCTGGAATGATCAGAGCTGCAATCCGCCTTATCGAGTCCGCCCGCCCAAAACTGCACCGTCATTTACCCTGCTGTCGTTTCACGAATGCGATTGGCCCGAAGCCACAGGTACACCCTTGGTGTGTCACCCTTATAGCCTGCCTAGATCGACGGTTTACAGAACGAATAGGAGGTCAAGGGTCAACGTCACTTCGTTTCCGCCGTTAGATGAAGCGCGTCTATTCTGTGTAAATCGACAATGGTCACCCCATAAAAGCGGCCTCAAGTCTACTACACATGCTTGCTTACTACAGAGGGACACTAGAGCATGCTCGGTGCTTGGGCTGAAAGAGGGAGCACTAGAGCATCTTCCACGATCCAGACTAAAAAATCTGCTCCATCTTCACTGCTCATCCGCAACGGCTATGACGTACTGCTCGCTAATGGCGGTGCTTGCTTGTGTCCCAATCCCAAGCTAGAGTTGTAATACACCTCTTCCTGCTTTGAATGGCGAGTGTTTCAGGAGCACTAAGAATTTCACGGAAATACAATAGAACTTGTCAACATTCTCTGCAAAAGTGGTTCTCCAAAGCAAGATGATGTGTACACTGTATACCACAAGTAACTGAACAGATTGTCGGGACCTCAAGCCAGTTCAGATTTCTGGTGGGCTCCGTGTACCCAAGTTGCTTACACGGCTGGCGTGGGATTCGCTGGATTCGACCAGCTCACTCTTCAGTTTCCTGTCCACTGCGCTTCGCCGGGCCGGCCTTTTTCTCCCTCAGTCTCCGAGCACGTGACTCTGAACGTCACAGCCGCTGTCCGTTTCTCACCAGCAGAGTCGTACAGTACCAGGAATGCCGAGGTCTTGAGGGGACTCTCATAGCAGCCAGTACACATTGAGGGAGGCAATGGGGCATTCTTCGTGGTAGTAGCAGTAGTACTGCTAGGCTAAGCTGGTAGTGCTGAACGGCTCCGATCTTTCAGGCTCTGAAATTCAAGGTTTCGACTCGGAAATAACATAAGTAGCTAGCTGCTGGACATCTCCGAATCGTCTTGATGACGCAGCAGCCGAGTTGTCAGTGGCGCGTTCCGCGCGAAATGCCCCCCAACAGTCACCGCATCGGCAATGCTGCTGCTGCGTCACAAAATCAGATCTTTTGCGACACGCCAATCGTCGGCGAAAGCAGCGTTCGTCAGTCGCCGCACATCACGGCGACACTCTCGGCGATGATGCACCGGCAGCAGACGGCGGTTGACGCGTGGATGCATCAGATCGAAACGCAAGGCCTTCAGGGCTTTCACGTTCAAAGTGAAAGCGGCGGAGACTTTAATCCGGAAACCTTGGCGCAAGGCGGCGACGAGGGGACCGCATCACAAAAATGTGGACCTCTCCTATATTGTAGGTATAGTTGTTCGTATAGCAAGGCTACTCCGTAGCAGACGTACCTATGCCATACCTACTGTATACCTACTCCGTATTTCTGATCCTGGAATTTTGGGATGCGCCGGAGACGCGGCTGCGCGCACAAGCGCTCTCGGCGGGCTTCCGCCGGAGCTCCTCGAACGGTCCGCCGAAGCTGCACGCTTTGCGCAAATGCAGCTCCTTTCCGCGGAAAGTTTCCCCACAGGCGGCGGCGAGAGTATCCACGCAGGCGGGGAGAGTCTCCGCGCAGGTGGCAGCATGGGGGCTTCTCCGCGGCGGAGCTCGGACCTCCTGCTCCGCGCCGCTGCTGGCGAACCTGGGGTTGCGGGCGCGCCGCGCGAAATGACATTGCAACCTGAACGGGTGTCGCATTTGCCGCAAATGTCGCCGACGCTGCCCGCGGCGCCGCCGACGCCGCTGACGCCGCCCGAGCCGCCGACACCGCAGACGCCACCGACACCTACGCTGTTCGTTACTACCACGCTAAGTGGCGACTTCGAGCTAGGGGGCTTCGAGCTAAGAGGCTTCGAGCTGGGAGAGCAACATTTCTCTGGAAATAACAATGCGGCGGCGGCAACAATCAATGCCGCTCTTGGTCTCAGTCCCAATCGCCGCCGCAGAGCGTCGTTTACTACTCCAGCTCCGCACAAGGCCGTGTTGGAGTGGTTCCGCCACCCACAACGGACTACTCGTGACTTGGGGTGACGAGGAGAGAAATGCGGACTTGGGGACGAGAAGGAACTAGGAAGCGGGTATTGCGTGAGCGTGAGGTGTACGGAAAGGAGAGAAGAAAGAGAGAAGGTTGAAGGAAAGAGTGATTGAGTGGAAGAAAGGAATGGAATTGACGAGAAACAGATTGACGTGGGGCAAAAGTTGGGTTTCGGACGGGGCGTGTTCAACAAGCATTCGGACTTCGGACCAGTGGCGTGTTCAGCAAGATAGTCGCGGTTGCGTGTGCGACTCGGCTTGACACGAGGCGCGCGAGTTACTCGCAGCGCACACGGCAGTTACGAAGCGCGAAATCGTTTGTACTTCCACTATAAATCTGTTTGAACATTTGTGCTTTGTATCTCATTGTTTCTAGTGGAAATTGCTGCCATTTCGTATTGACGATTAGCAGCTACTTTGAGATCACTTTTGGAGGCAAGGCCCTTGAGGCTATTTGCACAAGTATTTCCAAATACTTTTTCGCTGCGCCAGAGGCGATAGTCGCCTAGAACTGGTATCAGAGCTAGCGTCGGAGTGCTGGCGAAATTTTTCCGCGACTCTATTTAGTGCGCCAAGTGGAGCCGGGTGTAAGGGCGTTGTAGCATTCTAAAGAGTAGGACGAAGCCTCAAGAATGACAGGCGATATTGGAGAGGCTAGTTCGGGCTCCTCTGTGAGCATTGGAGACCCCCAGGTTAAGGCTCTTTTAGAATTGCTAGCGCATGGGTCGTTGGTAGCGAAACCAACGATAGGGCTCAGTGAAGCCCAGCGTTTTAATGGCAGTAACTATAGTACGTGGCGCTTGAAGTTCATAAGGAGAGCGAAGGAGGTAGGATTATGGCAATTCTACCGTCGAGGTGAGAAGGCCGAAGGAGTAGCAACTACAAGCAACCAAGAGGAGGATTCGGGATATCAGAAAAGGAGTGAGCAAGCATTCTTTCAGTTGTGCCATTCTGTTTCTGATGGAATTGCTGTGGGCCTGGATAAGTTTTCAGGCGAGAAAAATCCGGCTCAAGTGGCGTGGGCATACATGGAGTCAGCCTACCTCGGCCAAATGGAGATGAACATCGCTGCGGTGAGGAGGAAGCTGCTTTTGCTGAGTATGGAGCCGAAGGAAGCCGTCATCGAGTACATCAATCGAGCCAAGAGCTACAACGACGATTTGGCCGCAATGGGAGCTGAGGAGAACGAAAAGGCAATGATGGGTTACATTGTCAACGGGCTCTCGAAGGAGTGGGCATCAGATCGACCTGCGTTGATTTGCAATCCACCTGCAAATATGACGAAGCTTCTGGAGATGCTGCAAGCCTTGGCGATATCCAAGGAGGATGTGACACGACGGGAGAAAGCGGCCCAAGGAGAAAATGGGGCTGCGGGTGTGGAGCAGGAGAAGCCTGCAATGGTGAATGCAGTCGCTGCAGGGAGAGGCATGGGTGCATGCTTCCACTGCGGCAAGATGGGGCATAAGGCATTTGACTGCTATGATAACCCGAGGAGCCGCAACTACAAGGGGAAAGGTGCTCCTGGTATGGGATGGAATGGAGTGCAGCAGAGTGGGGAAGGGGGTAGCAGAGGAGATAGTAGGCAGCAGAGGGGAAAGTTCTTTGGAGCTTGCCACCACTGCAAGAAGATAGGGCATAGAGCTATCGATTGCTACTCGAACCCCAACAGCCGGAGTTACAGGGGAACACAGCAGCAAGGTTCGGCACCGGCAAAGGCACATGCAGCTGAAGCAGAAAAGAGGGAAGCTGATGTTATTTTGGGTGGTGCACATAAGGCGAATGTTGCGCGTGCATCAGGGGTGTGCCTGATGGCAAAAGGGGGTGGAGAAGCTGCATGGTATATGGACAGTGGGTGCACACAGCATATGACCAATCACAGTGAGTGGCTGAATGCTTTGAGGGCATCAAGTGTGCCGTATGTGCTTGTGGGAGATGATCGGAAATTGCTTGTGAAGGGAGAGGGAGATCTGATTTTGCAAGGGCAGTATGGGGAGTTGAAACTGGAGAATGTGCTGCTGGTTGATGGTCTGTCACTGAATTTGATCAGTCAGTCACAGCTTGACAACACTGGATGCAAGACATTCAGTAACAAGGGCAGCGTGTGGATGTTTGACCATGCGTGGAATGTGGTTGCTAAGGGCATGCTGAAGAATGGGTTGTATGAAATGCTGTTGAATGAGAAGGGCATGACAGCTGAGAAGGTTACCTACCAGCAGCCGACGGAGGAAGGGGTGCTGGCAAGGGAGGAGCTGCGGGCGAGCTTGAAAAGTGTACCTGTAGAGGAGCTGCGGAAGGAAGCGGTATCGATGGTGGCAGCAGCGGCTAAGGTAGACATGGAGACCCTGCATAGAAGGTTGGGACATGCAGGGATGGAGCGGATTAAGGAGTTAGTGCAGAAAGAAATGACAGTTGGAGTGGAACTGAAGGATGGGGATGGGAGCAAGGGGAAGTGTGACAAGTGTGTGGAGGGCAAAATCACCAAATCCCCCCATCCCAAGCATCAGGTGCAGGAGCCATATGGAGCGCTGGAGATAGTAGCAGCTGATGTGAGTGGGCCGCTGAGGGTGGCATCCAGGCACGGGAGCAAATACTTAGTCACCTTTACAGACTTAGGGACTAGGCACACATGGGTGACTGAGCTTAAGGATAAGACGGAGGTCTTCTCTAGTTTTCTGGACTGGATGGTGGAAGCAGAAAGGCAGAGTGGGAAGCAGCTGAAGGTGCTGAGAACTGACAATGGTGGGGAGTTTGTCAATGAGGAGTTCAACAGCTACTTGCGCTCCAAGGGGATTCTGAGGCAATTGACAGTGCCTTACACTCCACAGCACAACAGTATAGCGGAGAGGGTGAATAGGTCACTGCTAGACTGTGTAAGGACATTGCTAGCGGACAGCGGATTACCACTGAAGTTCTGGGGAGATGCCTTGGGGATGGCTTGTTGGGTTAAGAACAGGCTACCTACCAAGGGCTTGGCAGCAGATATGACCCCACATGAAGCATTCTATGGGAGGAAGCCGAATATGGGGTTGGCTCGCGTATGGGGCTGCATGGTGCAGTACAGGGAGCCAGCTGGACCAACCCATAAGCTACTACCTAGAAGTAAGTGGGGGCTTAACCTTGGGATGTGCATGGTGAGCAAAGGATGGGTGATCAAGGATGTGGAGATAGGGAAGGTGGTGGTGACCAGAGATGTGATATTCTATGAGAATGTCACCTACTTGAAGTGGAAAGGGGTGAGTTCGGAGATTGCAACGGCAGGGGAAGCAGCTAACCTAGAGAAGGTGGAAGGGCTGCTGGAGGAGACATCGATTGAAGGGATTGGAGATGAAGTAGAGGAGATTGCAGAAGAAGAAGCACATACTTGGGTGTGGGAGCTTCCAGAGAAAATGGCTGCACAGGGGAGAAAGGAGATGGAGCAGCAGGAGATAGAGCCAGAGGAGAAGGATGCAACGACTGAGGTGGAGATGGCACCAAGGGAGAGTGAGCAGGGATCAACTGCACGAGATGGTCATGATCCATGGAAGCTGCTAGATAGTACAGACAGTCGTGAAGCAGAGAAGGAGATTGAGGAACTACTGGAGGATGGGGCAACAGCGATAGGGGTACTAGGACAGGACGAGCAAGAGGCAGCTAAGAAGGAGAACAGTGAGGTGGAGTCACCTGCTGAGGAGTTGGGGCGAGGGAAGAGGGAGAAGAAGAGAAACCCTAAGTACGTTCACTTGCTCATGACTCCATGGAAGAACGTGCATACCCATCTTCTCCTAACCATATCAGCAACTGCACTAGTATCACGGGCAAGACGGGAGGCGTATGGGCTGCCTAATGAGCCCTTAACAGTGGAAGAGGCCTTGACAGGACCACAAAAGGAGCAGTGGAGAGCTGCTATTCAGGAGGAGCTGGATACACTAGCAGAGAGGGGCACTTGGGAGTTAATGCCCATGCCAGAGGGAAGGAGTGCAGTCGGGGTGAAATGGGTCTTCAAGATTAAGACAGGAGACAAGGGGCAGCTGGAGCGGTTTAAGGCTAGGTTAGTGGCGAAGGGCTACACACAGGTAGAGGGGATCGACTACACCGATACTTATGCTCATGTAAGCAAGCTGACGACTGCAAGGGCATTTCTCAAGGTTATAGCAGCAAGGAACTACTTTCTAGTGCAGCTGGACATCAAGAACGCTTTTCTGCATGGGGTAGTTAAGGAGGAGCTGTATATGGAGCAGCCACCAGGGTTTGAGGACGGCACTAACAAGAAGTGCAAGCTTATTAAAGCACTATACGGTCTGAAGCAGAGTCCCAGGGAGTGGAACAAGGTGATGGACGAGAGGCTGCTGAAAGGGGGATTTCATAAGAGTGAGTGTGACAGGGCGTTCTACTGGAGGGGAGCTGGAAAGGAGAAGGTGTACCTACTGCTCTACGTGGATGATATTCTAGTGGCAGGGGCACTTCCAGGGGAGGTAGAAAAGGTGTGTGAGCACCTCGCTGAAGTGTTCCAAGTGAAGCAGATTCCGAGGACGACGCTGTTTCTGGGGATGAATCTGGAGAGGAACAGGGAAGAGAGGAAGCTGTTCTTATATCAGCAGAAGTACTGCAAAAGGGTGGAGCAGAAGTTTGGTCATGGCTATGCGAAAGCCATTACTACACCGCTAAGTGGAATGGCAGAAAGTGATAATGAGAGTGAAGAGGATGTGCTGAAGTGGGATGGTCAGGAGCGGGCGCTGCAGATGTACCAGTCTATGATGGGACAAGTTATGTACCCAGTCTCATGCACCAAGGTTGACATGGCCTATGCAGCAAGCTACTTGGGGCAGCACGCACAGCAGGGGAGGAAATGGAGGGAGATGAGGCGGACAATAGATTACCTGCTGCAGCATCAGGATGAG